CTTTGCGTTTCACCTTGGTTATTATATAGGCTGTCAAGACATCTATGAATCTTCTTCATGTGGCAATAGAAGCTCAAATCTATGCATGCGTCCATTAAATTGCGTGTTGAGCTGTACTGAGACAGATGATCAATGAGAGCAGGAGTGGAGAGAGTGGAGTTTGGACCTGCGGAGAGCGACAGCAGTATCCTGGCTGTGAACGGTCCTCTGCTTGCCAAATGTTGGCTGCTGTTTGCTCGCCATCAGAGGAGCAAGATCTCAGTGTAGAGGCTGGACTATTCCAAAACGCTAGTGCTGTCTTTTTTGTAAGCAAATAGAGAGGCAATGTATGGCTATTTTCATTATTAATATAGATTTATCATTTGGTTGATAACATGTCATTTTCTATTTCACAAAATCCAAGTTGTAATAATAAAACCATCTTATTTTGACAGTTCAAACCCCGAGATATTTACTTAAATAAGCCCTATTATGCTTTCTTGGGTTTTCCCTTTCCTTTAGTGTGTAGATTGTGTGCATGTAAATGGTCTGCAAAGGCTAAAATCCCTGTGTTATCATAGGCTGTTTCTCAATGTCGAGGACGCTTGCTTGGTAGCACATGTCTTCCGAGTCACTTGCTTCAGAAGCGAGGCAAGAATACTTCCTAGCCTCGGAAAACGAAGAATGGTGGAACAGGTGTGCATCATATGGGAGGCCCCGCCTTAAATGGAGCGCGATTTCCGCCAGAGATTTGGAAATTGGTCCGTGCGCAAAGCATTGTGGGGATTTTAATGCCGCACATGTGAAGCCTCGAAATTTCTCGCTACGAAGTACGCCGACCTCGGTAGAATTCCAAGTATGCTGGACATTGGAACAGTCCTTCGGCGGCACTCGGTAACGTAGTATGCTTGAAATAGTGGCTCTGGAGCATCCTTCCTCGACATTGAGAAACACCCACAGTCTCCCCACCAAGCCCCCAGGAAGTGCGCCGGACTCTGATGAAAATATTAGTTGTGTCCAAATGGCGGTACTACAATTTCCGTATCAGTCCGTGACGTCACTGGGCCCTGAAAGACTTTTCACCATTGACTAACATGGAAAGAGACGTCTGTAAATCAGCGGATACTTAAAAAACCAAACTAAATAAACTACCCAGTATGAAGTATTTTATAGCCCTTATTATAATCATTAGGTCCTTAAAGTTGTAAAATGCACTAAAAGCCGAATCTAGATCTAGTCTCCATTCATTCGAGTGAGCCGAGAGTGGGAGCTCGGGGGGCGGGGCTTAAGGGGCGCATGCTCTGTGAGCACACATACGGGTTCTTCTGCTCTGACAGCCAGGCATGATGGGTAATCTGTGACGTTTCACTCTCTCAAAAGTTGGGCCATTTTGTCGTCATGCGCCAATGAGCAGCTCTCATAGGAAAGAACGAGACCCCGCCTCCCACGCTGTATCCAGTTCTTATTATACATCCATGATTACTACCTGCCCGAAAACGCCTCCATTGGAGTCCTTTGTTTACTTCCATAACATAATGACAGCTAACCAATCAGAGCAGACTGGGCTCTGGTTTCAGACAGAGGGTGAAAAGAGGTGCTGCAGCACAGGCAGCATGAGAAAAATAAAGAGCTTTTTGAACATTAAAGCATGGAGACATGTAGAGACACTAAACCTGAAAATGATCAGAATGGAGACCCTTTTTAAATATATCATAAAACATCAGGAAATGTCCAATTTCTAGGAAGCATTTTTGTTGTTGTTGTTTTAACGTCAACTTGATTTTCAACATAGAAGATCAAAATGTATTTTTTAAGTTACAGCCGTAAATGTAAACAGTTTTTCAGATGCGTCTGCTCTTTTGTGGGCACATGGCCTCTCTTCTCACAATCCCCAATTCACAGAAAAACATCAGGCTAATAATTCTGACCTGTCGTTTGTTGAAGTGGCTGATGTTCAGTGTGTGTGTGTGTTTATCAGTGTGTGTGTGGCTTTGTACTGAAGCACTGCAGTGGGCAGACCATCTCTCTCTTATAATACCATCCAATCTGTTATGAGAGATGGATTACATGATGCAGCGAGGGGGGGGGGGGGGGGGGGAAGAGGAGTGGATGGAGAGGAAGTAGAGAGTAAAAGTGGTTGAATAGAGAGAGATTCAGAATGGGACATAAAGAGAAAGGAAAAAAGGTTCAGCAGTTTTCTGAGAACAGTATAATCTGCCGGCTCTCAGCTGAGTTGTTGCTATGTGATTATGGAGGAAGCGTTTGAATTGGTTCAGCACTCGTGTGTGGGCGGTGTTAGCTTCTTGCACTTCTCTGAGTCAGTCCCAATGTACAAAGCACCGCCAATTCAGAGGCACCACCATGTCCTGTTTGCAGCCATAAAGGAGTCGGGCGGCTTAAATGTAAAGCAGGCTATTTTGTCGTCTAAAGAGAAACAAATATATTTGCAAAATAAGCTCCGTCATAAACGTTGTGTTATTCAACAAGTTCATTTGAAGGACTCTGACTGTGGGATGTTTTGTAAGTGCTGCAATACTAGCTTTTATTGTCCCCTAAAACACACCCTGTGGATATATTCCCAACTGTTACACCTGGGGATGTTTGTAACAGCCCATTTTATTTTGGGGTGTTGCTATCTTTGCGTACGTTACATTACATCGGTCACTTGTTAGACGCTTTTATCCAATACTGAGGGCAATCCCCGCAGGAGCAACTTGGGGTGAAGAGTCTCAGGGACACAACGACATGCTGACTGCAGTGGGGTTTGAACCTGTGACCCCCTGATCCGAACACCAACGCACAACCCACTGCGCCACACGCCTCCCTTACACATCAAGTTGAGCCAATTTGAACCGTTGCTTTTGTCAAGTTGCTGCCACATTCAAAGATGTGCATAAGAGAAAGTTAATCGAAGAAACCGATGGATGTTTTTCTTTTCGAATGAAGCTCTGCCTGGGGGTGACTGTGGGTGTTTCTCAATGTCGAGTAAAGCTGCTCCAGAGCCACTATTTCAAGCATACTACGTCATCGAGTGCCGCCGAAGGACTGTTCCAATGTCCAGCATACTTGGAATTCTACAGAGCCCTAGTACTTCGTAGCGAGAAATTTTCGAGGCTGCACATGTGTAGACTCCGCGGTCTTAAAATCCCCACAATGCTTTGCGCACGGACCAATTTCCCCAAATCTGTGGCGGAAAATGTAAGGCGGGGCCTCGCATATGACGCTCGCCTGCTCCACTCTTCGTTTTCCGAATGCCAGGAAGTATTCTTGCCTCGCTTCTGAAGCAAGTGACTCGGAAGACGTGCTTCCAAGCAAGCGTACTCGACATTGAGAAACACCCAGAAATGTCTGGACCTGTAGAAATGATGAGACACAAAAGAAAGCTGTAGCTGAATAGTTTGTTGTCATTTACAAGGAGAAGTTGTCCCACAGCGATGTATACTTTTTGTTGTTCTCCCCATTTTAGTCAATATACAAAAATACAAATGCAAACAAGCCTCTTCACATGATGAAGCCACTAGATGTTGTCTTGTCAACAGGGGGTGTTTCTCAATGTCGAGGACGCTTCCTTGTCTTCCGAGTCACTTCCTTCAGAAGCTAGGCAAGAATCCTTCCTGGCATTCGGAAACAAAGAGTGGAACCGGCTAGGAAGTGTGCAGGTGTGTGCGTCATAAGAGAGGCCCTGCCTTTCATTTTCCGCCACAGATTTTGGAAATTGGTCCGTGCGCAAAGCATTGTGGGGATTTTAAGACCGCGGAGGATACACATGGGCAGCCTCGAAATTTCTCGCTACAAAGGACGCTGGGCTCGGTAGAATTCCAAGGAGCCTGGACATTGGAACAGTCCTTCCGTGGGACTCGATGACGTAGCATCCTTGAAATAGTGGCTCTGAAGCATCCTTTCTTGACATTGAGAAACACCCACAGTCTGAAAGTCATGTTTGCAATATATATACTAACCTGTGAGAGAATATAACATACGTTTATATCGAACTATGTAAAGGTTTGAGTGGCTGGTTCATTTCTTCAAATTATTTAGCCGATTATCTTCTACAGAAATCTAATAATCGCTTGGATTTATAAGGTATACAAATACTTTAAAATGTCCTTCCTTGTTTCTTAAAGTACGAGGTTGAGATGGTATTTTTCTGCAAGTAAAAGATTATCAAAATACTTGCTAATAATATTTGTGTCAATTGTCGAGACCTTGTGTTCATAATTGGTTTAATTTTGATTGATTTGCTTTTGTCTCGACCTGCAGTAGTGTAATACTGGCGTGCACTGGTCTCAGGCTGTTGCAAGTAAGTGTGAAATTGCTCGGTTAAGAGTCGTTGAAAGTTGATATGAAAAAGAAATGTCAGGCTGTTGGCAGGCATTCAGATCAGCGGCGAGCCAACCATGTTGTTCCCTCGCCACTTGTTTCTCTCCTTAAGTTCTCCGGCACGTTCCTGGCAGCCCCTACAGCTGCTCGAGCTGCAGAAGCATGCTGGGTGGACTTCAAATCCTCCCCCTTCCTCCCCCCCAGCCTGTAGCATAGGCTCTCTGGTAGGGAGAAAGGGGTGAGGACAGGCAGGACGGATACAGCAGTTTCACTACTACCAACCCCCTCCTGCTGTGAGCTAAAAATAGGTCCAGCATATGTCCGCATGCTCCTCCCTGTGTTGCCTCCTATTAAGCAAGTCCTCTTTGAAGCACTGAGATGCAGGGGGGAGAGAGGGGAGAGTCCATTTGTGTTGCATCCTTCATCCCTTTCATGTCCCGGCCGCAGACACTAAACCTGAAATGCAATTCCTTTAATTTAATTGAGACGCTCTAAAGCCGGGAGACGATCATAGTATACAGTTAGTGGATGTAAGGGGTAATTGAGTTTGGCTAAAGTAGCAGGCAGGCCAGTGGTTCAGTTTGTAGTACCATGATATATATAATTTTATATATATATATATATATGTGTGTGTGTGTTGTCTACAGTGTACTGCACTGCTGCTGCTACAATGTGAACAGCTTTTGTATTTGTACCTCCAGGCATCTACTCGACACAGCCACAATTGAGCATTGATTACCTGAACTGATCCCGGCTCTATTGAGAATTGTTGCTGTACAAACTCTTATTTTGTATCCACTACTTCAATGTAACTGCAGACAAGGTACATGAAAACCAAACGAGCTGAAGTGGGAGGATAGAAAGCTTATAAATAGCTTATAATATCCCCCTAGTAGATCACAGCTACAAAACTCTCAGAATGTCTAAAAATAGTAATGTATAATAATAATAATTTCCACATATGACTGCCACTTTTTTTTGGAACCGATAGAAATAAAAAAATATGTATGTGTTTTTAAATTAGGATTTTTAACATAACAAAGAAATCCAAAACTAAAAAACATTGTTTAACTGTTTCTCTCTTTCCCTTCCCCCCCCCCCCCCCCCCCCCCCCTCTCGCTGCAGGTTGTATGCTCCGTGTTGCCGCTGACCCGTCAGGTTGGCACTGCGACCCGCACCATGAGGGCTCTGGCTCTGGGTGTTTGCTGGCCAGCGTAGACGGCGACATGTCCCGGTGGTCCTCCTCATCCTGATGGACCGAGACACCTTCTCCCACATCCGCCTGTGGTGCCCCCGCCCCTTCGGCACCTACTCCCAGAACAAAGCTAGGAGCCCAGGCTCAGGGGGCAGCGGGGGAGGAGGAGGAAGTGGAGGAGGAGGAAGTGGAGGAGGGACGGGGACCCCCAACCTCTGCAAAGCTGAGCCCTCCTCGAGGAGCGTGGACGGAGGTGAAGATGGAGGCATCGTAGTGGGTGTGGAGGATGGAGAAGCGGAGGATGCAGGGGAGGAGAACACTCCCCCCGAACCCGAGGGCTCCATGTCGCAGAGCCAGGACCCTCTGCCCTCCTCGGACCCTCCGTCGCCGCCCTCCTCGGGGTCCCAGATGGAAGATGGCCGCGTGCTGTTAGACACCTGGTACGTCATCAAGCCGGGGAACACCAAGGAGAAGATCGCCTTCTTCGTGGCTCATCAGTTCAGCGGGGCAGGGCAGCCACGACCCAGCACCATGAAGGTAAAGACGTGTTTTTGAAGAGAGTTGACTATAAAAAGAGGATGGATGCACGGTATGGATTTATTGGAATTGCTGGGTTCTCATGGCCGATACAGGAAAGATAATGGCCCATTTCACAAATGTGTATTTTAAGCTTTTAAGTTCCAAATCTAGTTAATGCTCTGATAGCTCGGACCTCACCATCACTTTAAACACGTCAAAAACCTAAAGATTGTTTTTTAATCTCGTTTTCTTTCCTTGAAACTGAAAAAAACACATGTTACAGTCATTCTTTCTTCCTCTGTGTTTGTTGTCGGATCGCAAACCTACCCTAAAAGTGCATAGCGCCTCCTACTGTATTGGAGGGTGTAGGTACTGCACCAGTTAAGTCAATAAAAGCAATTTAACCTTCAGCTATAGTTTCAATATCGCAATTTTACATAATATAAGTTTCCTATTATCTGGTGTGTGTCGGACAAATATCTGGTGCTTCCTTAAGTTTAACTTTGGTTATTTAAAACAAAACATTCATCCTTTTCCTCCACAGGTGAAAGGTAACTGGGCGACGGACTGCAGTAAAGCCAAGAGAAGAAGACGGTGTTCCTCGTACGACCCTCCGACTCGCTCCCAGGCCTCGGAGCTGAACCTCAGCCACGAATGCCCTCTCTCCCCCCCGAGCCCCGACGAGCCTCCTCTGGTGAGCGAGACGGACCTGCTGTCGGTGGCAGAGATGGTGGCCCTCGTGGAGCAGAGGACAGCGATGGCCCTCCAGGGGATCGTGGCCGTTCAGAGTCAGTGTCCTAACGGTCAGGGTCTCACCCCTCACACTCTCCTGCGGGGCACCGTGTCCGACCCCAGCCCCATCGTGTTCGTGTCGGACAGTTCGAGTGGCCATCCCTCCAAAGAGTCATCGTCCCCCATCCAGACGGACCAGGAGCTGGAGGAGCAGCAGCAGCAGGAGTCCCTCAGGGTGGCCCAGGCCATCGCGCACTTTGAGTCCCAGAACCAGGAGAACCGGCTCCATCTGGGACCTGAAACAGACTCTTCTGTCCATCCAGAGAGCGAGCGTCGGAGAGGAGGGGAGTCCGGCGTCGCTTCGCCTCCTCCGCCCCCCAGTCGCAGTCACGGCGAGGTCAGAATAGCTTTCCGAGTGTCGAACATGGACCCCCGGTCTCAGTTAGAGCCGGCTGGAAGGTCCCGATGTATGTTCATGAGCTGTGGGGGAGGGGGGGGGAGCCAGGCGGCAGCCAGGGCCAAAGAGAAAATCACCTGCGACCTCTACCAGCTGGTCAGCCCCTCCTCCAGAGACCCCGGGAGTCTGCTGCTGGCCGCCACCTCCGCCGCCCCCAAACCAGACGGAGACCTCCATCACCCGGACAGGCCGAGCTGCGGCAGCCCGGACCCCACCCAGGAGGAGAAGAAGTCCTCGGGGATGGGGAGGGAGCGAGTGACCGGCTTCCACGTGGAGGTGGTGGTGACGGGCGCTGTGGACCAATGTGTGTTTTACGGCAAAGACAGTACGGAGAATGTGCAGGAGGAGACGGTGTGTTTCGCTCTGCCCAGTGGAGGGGGCGGCTCCTCAGACCCTTCATCAGACGACCCCCCTCCCGGACAGCTGTTCTTCCTGCAGCCTCCACGGGGTCCAGAGGAGGATTTAAAAGGAACGAGTGGTGGCGTTGGGTCGGGGATTTGCTCTTTGGACTGTGCGAACAACAACAACAACGGCGGCGGCCCCGGGGTGTCCGTCGGCTCGGGGGAGCGACCGGATTCTCCCGTGGACGACTGCTCGGACCCCTCGCTGTGTCGCCTCTACCGCCACGTGTCACATGACTTCCTGGAGATCCGCTTCCAGATCCAGCGCCTCCTGGAGCCGCGGCAGTACATGCTGCTGCTGCCCGACCACATCATGGTGAACATCTTCGGATACCTGCCCACGCGCTCGCTGGCCGCCCTCAAGTGCACCTGCCACTACTTCAAGGTGCTCATCGAGAGTTACGGGGTTCGAGCGGTGGACTCGCGGTGGAACCAAGACCCTCTGTACCGCGAGGACCCGTGCAAGCAGTGCAAGCGGCAGTACGAGCGCGGGGACGTTTCTTTATGTCGTTGGCACCCCAAACCTTACCACCACGACCTGCCTTACGGACGCTCCTACTGGATGTGCTGCCGGCGGACGGACAAAGACACGCCGGGCTGTCGGGTCGGGCTCCACGACAACAACTGGGTCCAGCAGCCGGCCGACGGCTCGCAGCCCATTCGCACCAAGAGGGAGGACAGGAGGGAGGAGGCCAGGTAGAGAAAGGGGGGAGTACTCTTAGGATTACGGAGAGGAATCAGCACTCCAGGACTATTGTCTTTGCTCCAGCACTCCTGGCCTGTCAGTGAAGTGGTAAAGAAGGAAGAGAGGTGTATCACTCTCCTTGCCTTTTAGTTTTTTCAAGCCCTCCAGAATCCCTCTCCTCCAGAGTGGCACTTACTTTAAAAACCAGGGTTGGGGTCCCCTCTGTCAGCCCTCTCTTTCTGCCTCTTACTCATCCGGGTGTTTCCTGTCTAACTCCACACACGGCCGTTGAAGGTCATTCACGTGAAAGAACTTTTTGCAGTGTATTTGATTGAGATTAGCATCCATAGTGACGCATAGAAATGTATCGCCCTAGAGCCTGCTTACTGTTCCCAAATACTCGTTCTGTGTTCTGTGTAGTACCACATGTGAGCTGTACGACGGTGCTTCAATGAAATGAGCTGTACCCAAGTCCCAGCAGATGTAAAAAGTGGATGTGGAATGTGCCGCTCTAGAAATGTGATTGTATAAAGCAAACTTGAGTTCTCCGTTGTACAAGACGCCATTTTGTACCTGTCCTGCGCCATGCGTTTCTACTTCTCTGAATGTGCTGTAACAGTGTACTACGTTTGATTAGTCCCCTGATAATGCTGCTGAAATCATTGCCTGTGTCACTGACGTTATTATTATTGCTGAAATAGCCATACCATTTGGTTTAATGGCGGGCACAGTTCTCGTCGTTGTTTCAGAGCGGACCCTAACCTTGAGACCAGTGGGATTGAAAAAAGAGAAACTTGATGGCCTGATGTCACTTTGTATGGTTTGATTGACTTGCTTGTTTGCCATTTTGTTTGTTTTTGTTTGGCTGTTTTACTGAGGTGTGTGTGTGTGTGTCAGAGAATGTTTGCTGTCGTTTGCTTTTATTCTTGAGGACTGTGTTCTCCCTGTAAAAAGTCTGTCATCCAACTGCAAAGATGTATTTTTTGTTTTTTTGAAATACTCCATCTTTGTTTCCACCCCCTCTCCTTCCTGTCCTGCATTGCGGCCGAGGGCAGTGTTTTCCAAAGCCGTTATCCATGCTTCGAAGCGGGTGAAACCAACTACCACAGAAACTCTCCACACCAGCTTCCAGCCTTAAAAACCCTTTACCTCTTACCCCCCCCCATTGCAGGAGATTGAGGCGTCAGAAACCTCACGTACGATGAAGAGTTTTGGGAGTTGCACAGGACCCTGTAGTTGGCTAGATTTCAGACTCCACCCATAACTCTGTGTGTGGGAGTGTAAGACGGACAGTGCCTGGTGGCGCTGCTGACTCTTCATTCTTGTACAAACCCCCCCCCCCTCTTTCCCTCTCCCTTGCTGTAAAACCCCTGCAAGCTCACAGACTGGACGTTTAAGGACTCGTATGGTGAATGATGCTGAAACGGTGCATGGAGGTGGGCGGACGGTCGGGTATTCATGGGAGAACTCAGTCGGTTCCAGACATGTACAATGCTAATGGGAAATATCTGCTTAAATAAAAACAGAAGTGATGATTAAAACTGGAAATCTGAAGCGCTACCTCGTCCGTGTGGTGTTTGATACGTTAATATGAGGCCTACAATAATCTGATGATTTAACAGTGATTGGTTAAATAATGTGTCCTGAACAGTAACAGTCTTATGAGAGTTGAATGCAGTGACCATCCAACAACAAAAACTACTTTCCAGAGAATTATGAGGCAAAAAAGGGAAGCTAATCCAATTTTTCAAACCTATAAACCCTCAATATGTTATGCGTCTGATGCATGGTATGCCTGTTTAATTGACCAATCACAATTTAATACAAATCAGATATCATTGACTTTACTTATCGCGCATGTCTCTACGATAAAGTGGACATTTATAGGGACACTCCTCCCAAAATTAAAGCGACCATATTGTGTTTTCTAAGTGTTTCCCTTTCCTGTAGTGTGTCCTATTGGCTAGCGCATCAACACATTGTTCGAGTCCAAGAAACTTTCAAATCAAATCTTCAAGCTACTTTAAACTTTATTGAATTCACATCAGGTTGCTCAATTACACCTTATTTCACACCTTTATTTCAGAGCCTTGAAGCAGGCGCAGATTGACCTGTGATTGAATCAACATGTAACAGTATATACTAAGTAATGGCCTGATCAAATCATTTCACACCGCATCGCAGGCAGGGAAGGAAGGAGGTGGTGGAAGAAGCACTTGGATATTTTGCTCACTTAAAAGTAGCTCAGTGTAGAAATACTGTATTACATCCAAAAGTTCTCCAATCAAAATATGACTTAAGAATAGAATATATCTTTGTCATCATACAAAGTACAACGACATTTCTTTTTTCAGTAAAAAACATGTAAAATAATTAAAAATATTCATCAATATAATTGAAGTACCGAAAGTGCCCCATTTTAGTATAATGTATTTTATGCTGTAAGAATATTATTATTGTGACCTCTCTTTAAGGATAACAAATTACATGTAGTTGATATCTTGCTGGGTAGCTGAAACTATAATTATAAATACTACTTACTAATTGCTTAACAAAATAACCAGTATTTAAAGTAGTCAGAGAAATGTAGTAGGGTAAAAAGTACTTTGACCACTCATAATGGATCACAGAGAAATGAGACAGTTGTTATGTTTTTTATTTATTCATTTTAAAGTGTGACATCTCTATGATTGGTAGTGCAGTGACATGTAATAACCATCAGGGGGCGACATTGTAGTACTTTCATCCAAACAGAGTTATTCAACTTAATCACATAATGTCCCCTAATCACATATTTGTACTGTTTCTGATTTTATGTAAAGCGTCTTTGAGCACCAGGAAAAGTTAATTAAATGTATTTTAATTATTATTAAAAACAAACACTAGAATGAATCTGCTAACCAGTATCCCCACATAAACACTGCTACAGCCATCATAATGAGAGCGTTGGCGTCCACAGTGTACTTCCACACCGGGGCCTCGCTGATGTCCGGGAGCTTCTCCGAGGCCTCAAGTTGATCCTCCTCAGGGGCCGGGGCCGGGGAGACCCCTTTGTGTTGTTCATTCATATCTTATTTTACCTTAACATTTATTTATGCATTTTTTTTTAGCTCTCCAGTTTTAAAGGATATTTTTTGGTTACTGTCTTATACATTGCAATGATTTAAAACCTGTTTATCCCAATAATTATAAAGGAGTGCCTTGGAAATATGTGTTTACATAAATTGTGACCAAACCGTTTGAACTTAGACTAAGAGTGCTTACCTCACTGAGCTGTAGTATCAGCCTCTCAGTCTGACTGGAGAGGACTCTCCCTCCACATTATTGTAGAAACATCTTCTTCTTATATCCGTTAGAGCAGCTAGCACGGTACCACAGATTCTAATAACAACAGCGCTGGTACCGGTGCACCCTCGCATTTTGTCTGTGAGCTGCGGGCGCCAGATAAGCCAACATCCCCCATTTTCATCACTTACAGCGGCCATCGTACAGGGCAAATGAAACGTGTAACCGGGGTGAAAAGGGTGTTACATTTACTTAATTATGAATATTGTTACATCAAGGCCGAAAATTAGGATGAGCCCCAACGGTCAAAATGTTTTTTTCCCTCCCAGAACTGCCAGCGCAGCGCCTCCACAGATCTGGCGCCCTAGGCGAACATCTAGCCAGCGCTACGGGCCGGCCCTGAGTTCATATCATGGTTCATATGCAACTCGCAAATATCTTTCTTTCTCTCTCTCTCTCTCCCCTCTATTGTCTCTTCTCCCTTCTCTCTCTCCCTCTCTCCCTCTCTCAATGTTGGTAGGCCTACGCAAATGCGCTTTGTTTCAAATGACCCGGTGCTCTTTTTTTGGCGGAGGTGCGCATGCGCACCTGCGCACCAGTTATGTGCAGCCCTGATGTGGACAATGCTCGTTGCCAAAAGTGGAATAAGCGTTTAGTATGTAAGGGTGGTAACACGAGCAATTTGTCTAAACATTTATCAAAAGTGCTCCACATCCAGACGGAGGAATGCACCGGGTTCGACCGTCTTTCTAGCAGCTCTGTAGCCCCATCCACGAGTAACGTTTCCACGTCAGGTGTTATGTATGCTAGCAGCAACACACGGAGTTAACTACATTATACAAACATGGGTTAATGATTAGAGGAAACTCGGTTATTTATTTAGTTAAAGTTTCAGCTATTCTGTTTACAATTCTGTCATCAGATTATTTAATACGATTTGTTAAAACATTGTTGTTTCTTTTGATGTGAAATATTATGTATTTAATTTAAATAAAAAGCAATGTTAGTTTTGTTCACAATTTGTTTAGTTAGTTTACCCTTATTTTTTTTCTCCAAAAGAACCGATAAAAGTAATGTTAAAGGACCGGATCGATAAGACAGACATACTTTATTGTCATTTCAACAAGACACAGAGTGTACTATTAAAACGAAATGTCGCTGTACTGGCTTACAGGAACAGGACAATATAAAAAGTTGCTAAAATTGTACATATAAATAAATAATAGTGACGTGGTGCTGATAAAATTAAAGATAAAGTGTGCGTTTAAAATATAAAGACTTACTATACATATAAATAAAATAGACATACTATATAACAAATATGTGCTCTTTACACAGCGTAATGTAATCTCTGTGTCACTGGTCTACTTGCTGTTCAGCAGTCTGATGGCATGGGGAAAAAGCTATTGCAGAATCTGGCTGTTCTGCTCTTAATGCTGCGGAACCTCTTGCTGGAGGGCAGCAGGGAGAACAGAGCATGGTGAGGATGAGTGGGGTCTTTCAAAATGTTCTGGGCTTTTGTCAGGCAGCGTTTCTGAGCGGTGTCTCTGATGGGAGGGAGAGACACTCCGATGATCTTCTCTGCTGTCCTAACCACTCTCTGCAGAGACTTCCAGTCTTTGGCGTTGCAGTCTCTCGACCAGATGGAGATGCCGCTGGTCAGCACGCTCTCTATGGTTCCTCTGTAGAACGTGGTGAGGATGGGAGGGGGGAGCTGTGCTCTTCTCAACCTGCGCAGAAAGTGTAGGCGCTGCTGTGCCTTCTTAAATAGTGATGTAGTGTGAGTGGACCAGGTCAGACTGCTTGTGATATGCACCCCCAGGAACTTGGTGCTGTCTGTAGTCTTCACTGCTGTGCCGTTGATGTGGAGTGGTGGGTGACAGTGCTTTTTGTTCCTGAAGTCGACAATGATCTCTTTTGTTTTATCGACATTCAGGATCAGGTTGTTGGTGTTACACCAGTCTGTCAGATGTTTCACCTCCTCCCTGTAGGCCTGTTCGTTGTTGTCCCTGATGAGTCCCACCACTGTTGTATCGTCCGCGTACTTTATGATGTGGTTGGTACTGAACCTGGAGCTAAGCATAAGCGCTATCGATAAAAGTAGTAGTACCGTTAAAGCCTTAACGATACCCATCCCTATGTGGATGTCAGTTTTACACACATTCTGAGGCCGCCATGCCTATGTTTTTTGTTTTCACTGCTAATTTATGCTTATGTTCTATTAGTACATTACAAAATCATTAATGAAGTTTCAGCTCAGACCCCACGCATAATATGTCTCCCCCTGGCCCACCTACATTTCTCCAGGCCCACCCACACAATAATTCCTGGCTACGCCACTGCTGTGCAGTCCTTGTGTGCCCAGGCTTTGCCAGCAACACTGCAGCCAGATCTCCTTGGACCTGGAGTAGCTCTCCAGGCACACAATGCAGTATTGGGCCTCATCGTCATCAGATGAGTCCTGCATCTTCTCCTTCTTGTTGGTTTTTGTTGTTGTTGCAGAAATTGATTTTTGTCTTCGCTTTAGACGTCTTTGCGTTAGATCTTTTTTTCTCAGCCTCGAGTAGATTTTTTATAGGAGTGTCTGTGAGGACAGCGGTTTCTCTTGTTTTTCTCCCCTTTGTGGTCTGCTTCCTTGGTCCAGCTTTTGGATGTGGACGGATGGACATGGGTGAGAAAATATTTCACTTGTCTATTCACTATAGCAGTGGTTCCCAAACGGTGTGCCGCGGCACACTGGTGTGCCGTGAGACAAGTCCGGGTGTGCCGTGGGATTTTGTGACAACCATACGATATTATTGCAATATAACTACACAAAAATAATATTTTTTTAATTTACTATAATATCAGTACTTTGTAGGTTTATATGTACGTAATCTGCGTGACTTGCGCATCCACATCTCCACCTGCAGTGCTGCATAAACATGGCTGAGTCAGCGATAACTCTCGAGGGGTGGAGGTATGCCCATTATTTTGAGTCCATCCGAAGAATAGACAGGAATGTGACGGTGAGGTGCAAACTGTGTCTAGGCCAGAAGCTGTTATCCACTGCTGTAAACACCACGTGGTCAAACCTCAACAAGCACCTGCAAAGAACACATGCTAAGGTGAAGCAACCGCACAGCTATTTATACATATACACACTACCGCCGCCTGCTGGTAAGGAAAGTTATTGCCACTCAGGCATGCGCAAGTTCGTACGTGCTCGGCGAGTAAAGTAACGAGTTACTTTATGTAGATAGTAACGAAGTAGTGTAATATATTACTTTTTTA